GCCTTTTTTAGTAATCTACTGACTTTGCCATTCATTTGAATTAACCTGTAACAAAAACCCATGGGTAGTAGAAAACAATTACTCCAAGAGCTAGTATTGTTCTAGGGGAATTCCCTGGGCTAAAAATAATCTAAGTATATGTGTGTTTCTTAGAATACATTAAAACTTGTGGTTATTCATTACTCATCTATCAGATTGGCAAATACAAAAAACTACTGACAACACAATTTGTTGGTGAGACTGTGAGGAAACAGGCACTCTCATACACTGCTAGTAGGAACGCAAATTGGTATACTCCTAGAGGAAACTGGCAATACCTAACAAAATCCTACTTCTAAGAATCTATCTGGAAGACACATCACCAACAATAGCAAAAGGCTATGCACAAAACTATTCATTGCAGCATTCGTATAAAATGTTGAATAAGAGATAATATATTGTATAAATTATACACAATGTATTATTTTTAATCAGCGCAGGAGATCTACATGTATTATCATGGATAAACCCTGAAAATGTCTGATGATAAAAGAAACTTTGAGTGATATGCATAGTATGATACGGCACTTATACAGTATAATACCACACATGCAAAGTTTAAAAATATACAACACTATACACTATATATAAGCAAGGGTATATACGTTACTAAAATTATGAAAAATATGGATGAGAAAAAACTCACTAAAAGGGTAGTAATTACTTCTAAGAAAGAAAATACAGTGGGTGGAATTAAGCATTATAATATGGCAAAATACTGACATCTGCTAAATACAGGAAGTAGATTATAAGGATATTTGTTAGATCATTTTCCATACATGTGAATTTTTTCATAGTTAACAAAATTAATTATGGTTTTATATGGAGGACTTCTAATTTGGCCATTTGGATAATTTATTGTTCAGTGATACTTATTTTTATTTGATGAGCAACATTTAAAAAATTCTAGAGTGCTTGATGTTTCTCTACAACTTAATCATTATTGAGAATATGCTGCCACCTAGCAAATCTTCCCAGAATCGTTTAACTAAAACAGAAAATGCTTCTCTTTGTATGGATGGACCCTGATTTACTATTTCAGTAACAATTATTAAAAAACAGTACACACTCAATTATGAAATAGGAGCTTTGCAACTTTAAAAGCATATAGTTTTTTATATTCTTATCTTTCAGAACATATGGAGGCAAATCATTTCATTCTCTGGCTCTTTAGTTTCTACCTTTAAATTTACTATCATAGGAAATAGAAAGCAACTTTCTAACGGGTTTGTTGGTAATCTGCTATCAAGAATAACAAAATATCAGTTTTATATAAAAGCCATTGGCTCTCCTAGAGAATTCAAGTACCTGATCAGATTGTTTCATCTCTTAATCCTGATTTTACAAATCAGTGCTGCCTAAAAAAACAGATGGCTCCAGCAAATTCCGCTCTAGTTTCATAAATTCTCATAAATTAGTCGCTAAAAAAACAACAGCAATGTTGTTTTCAATTGTGCATCCTTTCTCTAGTTCTAGTGAAACGGAGAAAAAAGTCTATATTTACAACATTTTCCCTCCTCATTTGAATATTAGGTGACTCAAGGTGAGCTTTCCATATTTTCATCTGTCAAACAAAAGTACGTACTTATTACTACCCATAGACAAGGTACTATGTTAGAGGTTAGGAAAGGTGCTATAATGTCAGTTAAATATTTTCTCCACATAAAGTACTGGTGAAGATGAAGCATGCATTAAATGATAATAAGATGAATATTAATAGTCTATTTTTTTAAAAAAGGTACAATTTTACATTACTTCATAAGAATAAATGTATTTTGAGGACCTAGAGCAAGGGAGTGTTCTCTAAATGTCAGGCTTTATCTTTGGAAATTTTTGAAAAGAATGGAATTATTAAGGGTAGAAGACACTGAAAGTTAGCATAACAGGTGCCTCCATAGATAGGCTTTTATTTTCACAAAAGACATTTTAGGTAATTAAATATACTGTCTATTAGAGGGTCACATAACTTTATAAAAGAAAAAAATTAAAAATTACAAAACAAAGATTCCAATCAAATAAATCACAGATATGAGTACCAATATCTCAAAGATAATACCAGAGATTTATAAACATTTGGGAATCTGATCAAACCTATCGACTCTTTTCGTCCTAGAGACAGACATACAAATATCAAATTACAGGCAGGTAATAGGATCCCTGGATCTCACGAAGAGCTAATTTAAGTTATTAAGGATCATAAAATGAAGCCTTAAGTTACTCATTCAAGAGATTTGTACTGAGGCTATTATAGTAAGCAAAAACTTAGGTGGATGGAATAAGAAATCTCTCACATTCACAAACACACACTAAACAACTATTACAAGTGCTTTTTAAAAAGAAATGGTGCTAGAAGAGCTTATATAAGTGGTAAACAAAAGTCAAAAAAGGTTTCCCTGAGAAAGTGACAAGTAAAGTAGAAGTATGAATTGAATAATGAGAGGAAAAGGAGTCTCAGGTAAAAGGAACAGCATATGCAAAGAATCTGTAGAGTGCTATGCTAGATAGTGGAGGAAGGCCAGTGTACTAAAGTACAGAGACTAAGGTGGTGGTGGTGGTGGTGAGGGGAGTGGTATAACTGAAGGTAAAGGGATTGGCCTTGTTTAGGCCAAAAGCAACAGAAAGCCACCAAACAGGCTTTAAGCAAGGGAGTCACATAATTAGACTTAAGTTTTGAGGAAAGCACTCCAGCTACACTATGGAGATGAGACTGGAGGGAGAGAATAGTCACAGTAAGTAGCTGGGAGGCTAGTATTATGCTGAGAGTATAACTTGGACTAGGATGGAGCAGTGATGGAAAAGGAATGGAAAGACATGAAAGATAATAGTGAATTTGAACTTTTTTTCAGATATATTTCTTCCTTAGAGAAGTTAATTCATTTCTTTTACCAATTTTTTATGAGATATTTTCTCTTAATCTCTATGAACTATTTTATAGTAATGATATTACCCACTTATCTGTCATATTTGCTGTATTCCTTTTCCTAATTGGTTCTCTTCCCCCCACTCCCCAGAGATGTTTTTCAATTGTTATATAGACAAATCCATATTTGTCTTTCCCTTTGTAGTTTTTCTCCCATTAATTTAAAACATAATAACACCTTCCATCAACACTTTTTTTGTTCTTTTTCCCCCATCTTCATATTAGAAAATATAAGATTTACTTTAGTGTGAGATGTGTATACTTCCTAATTTGGTAAGTTCATTTAGTCATCCAGAAAATATTTATAGAGCACGTGTTGTAAGTGATAGACATACACACAAAAAGGAACAGGTAAGCAAGTGTTTTCAAAGTAGAAAGCACTCTGATCGCTCAAAGAATAGACATCTAGCCAACAGTGAGGTTAATTAGTGAAGACTTCCTAAAGGTCAAATTTTAAGTGTTTTGAAGATGCCTGGATATTAGCAAATTATTAAAAGAAAGAGCCTTAGATGAAGAGTGGTAAATAAGTGTCATTTCTACTCTCAGAATAATTTCAAAATTGAATAGGAAGCTCACTAGTATTTCCAGTGAATTCCCATGGACATCACTATGATTAAAGTCTGTTATACCTCATAGGTAATCTAACGGAAAAAAGCCCACCAAATGTTTTCTGGAACTAACACAAGTTTAACATGTGTATGAATATATGCGAATCACCTTCAGAGTTTTCCTCTTCAATAAATCCTGTACTCCGCTGCCAAATGAAATCCAGACTTATTAACCTAGCAGTACACGGGAGTAATACACTTCAGTTTTATTTCCTAATTCATCCCACAAATTATCATTAATGAAGTTACCTGGCCCTATACCATCAAAGGGGTATCATCTCTTCCCTGCTTATACTAATCCCTCTGCTGGAATGCCTTCTTCCCTTTTACTGAATCACTGACTGCAATTCCTGCATAAGATCCTTAAATACCAATAACAAAGATCACTCACTTCACTTTGCCTTCTTTGGAAACTTTTCTGCACTACTTGTTTTTCTGGGCATTATTCTGTACTATTGGTGGGTGCTGCTTACCTTTTCCTACCTGAGTTTAAGTTGCTTGAAAACAGAAAGCATGTCTTACACAACTGTATAATACGCACAGTGGCTTGCTTACAGCAGACACTTACATATTCACTGAATAAATAGGATAAAGAACCTCCTTTGCTGTAGCTGTCCCGTCCTCATTTGATCCTTGCTTTTCAAGAAAAGCTTGCTCTTAAAGTCTTCACACGACTTATGACTCCCTTGAATAGAAGCAGAAACTGGAAAGGGGACAGTGGGAGAAACGGTAGCCTGGGACATTAGCACTTTATGGTGGAGGTGATGAGAGCAAATACTTGATGAAACTGGATGTAAAAGAACGAGAGAAGGGGAACTGGGGGACAGCAAGTATAAAAACAACGCTTGAAGTTTTGCTGTAAATGAAAGCAAAGATATGGGGCAGTAGGCGGAAGAAAAATGAGGTACTGAGCGTACATAATCATAAGCGATACAATCTCATTCAAGAGCAGCAATTTCTTAGGAGAAACTACAGTTCTCAATCCCTTCCCGATATTTTCGGCAGTCAATAAAAGACAGGTAATGTGGGCTGAGAGTTGATTGTCAGACACTGCAAACACCTGACAGATTCTAATTAACTTAATTGTCACAAACTGTGAGGAAGGTGCTGTATACTACCATGAAGTTTCGTTTTAGAGACGAGGGCATTAACTATAGATTAAATGAACTCCCCAAAGTCCCACAGATAATAATTCATGGGGCCTGAAGGCCAGAGACACGGCTTTTGCTCGGGTCACCTAGAACCCGTGAAGAGGTGTGACTGCTGCCATGCTCCAATTCCGGAAAGCCAGACTAGGCCCACGGAAAAGCTCCTGCAGCCGCACGCCCTATCCTTGCCCCAGGCAACATCATGGGCCCTTTAGAAAGACGCAATAGAGCCCTACTGAGGGATCGCAAAGTCAGCCCCACAGGTTCTCAAACCTCGGTGCTCACCTCGTTATTGAGGTTCAAAGTCCCTGGTTGAGCCATGGTCGGTGTAGGAAGAGGATCCGCAGCTGCCGGCACGAGAACTGTGTCGGCCATATTGCGTTGCCACGCCCCTCAACGGTGGCCTCTTCTGCCCAAACTTCTTCCGTCGTTTTCTCCAGCCAAAGTAAAAGGTACGCGAACGTTGAAAGAGAGAGCGGAACTCGAAGGAAACAACTTCCGGAGCAGAGTGCTACACGCCTGCGTGCGCGTTCCTATGGAAACCAGGCGGGGCGGGGGCGGGAGGTCTACCGGACCCCCTGTGGTGTTTGTTGCCACGTATAGAAGTTTTTCAAGTTGCTGATTTTAATATATTCATTTGTAAACTGGACTCTCTTTGTAAAGACCTTGGATTTTGTGTCCCAAGAGGCGAAAAAGCTTTCGTGAAAGCATCACTAGAATCACCAAATTATAACACTGGATTATCTAGCGTTTGTGGAGATTCCTGTGCTTCTAAGAAGCACCCCTTATTAGATAGAGCGTTTTATTCCAGCCTCACCTAATAACTTAGGTATGGGCATATTGTCCTGCACACGTTAAGAAAGTTTAAGTTAAGATAATGAACGTTTAAAGCAAAACCCGAACGCACATTTGCTGCCGCATGTGGGAATGGCTATGTTGAGGTATTAGCCTGCAGGCTGAGGAGGCATGAGGGAATGATCCTATATTGATTAATAATTAATACCTGTAGTATTGAACGTTAAAATGAATCAAATGCTGGGACAAACGCCTTGCATGAATTATCCAAAATATTCCCAGAAATCCAGATAGGAATAGGAATTACTATTCTTATTTTACAGATGTGCAAACTGCTTTCTGAGGAGCCAAGTGTCTTGCCGAGGGTTGCTCACCTGGAAGTAAAGACTGCTATAGGACTCCAGGGCTGGTTACATAAATTGTGGGGCCCAGCGCAAAATGAAAATGCTGAACCCCTCATTCAAAAAGGAGGAAAAAGTTTCTTCTTTGTTTCCATGGTGTCTCTTGACCTGGTAAATTTTTTATTTGGTATTTAATATGGTGCTTCGTCAGTCACAGAAATACTGGTAGGATTAGCGCACACCCACACAGTGCCTGGGACCCTTGCCCCAGGACTCAGAGAACTAACTGCATGTGCTGGAACAAGATGGAAGGAATTGCTGGGCGCAGACAGGCAAATGGGAAGCTAAAGAACCCAACTGGGAGGATGTGGGAGAAAGGACCACACATGACCTGAAACTAAGCCCTTGATGTATGTTTTATTCTCCTACCACACTTACAAAACTCAAATTCACAGATAAAATTAAGAATTTCAAGACTCTGATGAAAGGACGTTTGAACCAGGCCCACTTCAGAGCATCTGTCCAAGAAATGGTACTGTCTAGAGCCTCCATGTCAGTCCATCTCCCCCTTTGATGCTACAGTCTCAAAATTATTTTGATTCTTTACATAGTTGCTTTTACTAACAAACTCTAACGAAGCTATGCACATTTCCTCTAGTGATGCTAATGTATTCGTATGAATCAGGTTACAAGTTTCTCTAGAGAACACATCAAACCACTCTCACATAAAAATACATTGATAAATTGGACTGAATGAAGACTAAAACTTCTGCTTTCCAAAATACACTGATAAAAGAGTAAAAAGAAAAGTTACATTTCTCAAAAGAAATTTGAGAAAAAATTCGCAAATAACATATTTCATAAAGAACGTTTATCTAGAATACATATATAAAGAACTCTCCAAACTCAATAAGTAAATAAACAACCCAATAAAAACATGAGCAAAAGATCTGAACAGATACTTCACCTAAAAAGATAGTTGATAATAAATAAGCACATAAATATATGTTCAATATCATTATCAGGGAAATGCAAATTAAAACCACAATTTGATACCATTACACACCTATTAGAATAGTTAAATGTAAAAGTCTGATCATACCAAGTGCTGGTGAGACGGTGGAGCATCTGCTCTCAAGCATCATTTGTGGGAATGTAAGATGGTAGAATCACTTTAGAAAGAGTTTATTAGTTTATTAAATTATGCATCCACAGCCGTATGATCTAGGCTTTCTTCTAGATCAATAAAGAAATGAATACACATGTCCACATAAAGATTTAAGCTTAAATGTTCAGAGAAGCTTTATTTGTAATAGCCAAAATATTAAAACAACTAAATTTTCCATTCAACAGACAAAGAAATAAACTGTGGTATACACACACACAGACAGACAGGCATACACACACACACACACACACACACACACACACACACACAATGGACCACCACTGAGAATAAAAAAGAATGATACAATTTGGATTAATTTTAAAATTATTATGCAGAGAGAATTCAGACAAAATAACTATATTCTGTATTATTCCATTTATGTAAGATTCTAGAAAATGAAAACTAATGTATAGTGACAAAAAATAGATCAATGGTTGCCTAAAGACATAGGTGATGAAGGATGGAATGATGGGAGGGACAAGTCACACAAGGTCATGAGGAAACTTTTGGGGGTGATTGATATGTTCATTATCTTGATTTTGATTGTGGTATCACATTGCATGCATATGTCAAAACATATACACTTTATGTGCAGTTTATTGTGGGTTATACATCAATGATGCTGTTAAATACACTCACCATTGAACAAGCAATTCAACTTCTAGAAAAATATGCTACAGTTAATAGTGGTACAAATTAATGACTCATATGCAAAGATACTTATTACATAAGTGTATGTAATAACAAAAGATTGGGGGCAACCTGTCTATTAACATACAACTGATTAAATTAATATATCCATTAAGAAGAATAATCAGCTCTTTATTTACTGAAATGGAAGGCTCTTCTTAATATATTCTTTAGTGAATAAATCATGTGGCATTACCCTATAATATGCGATTATGTATGTGTAGTTGGAGGAAGGATATGGTCAGACACATACCACATTTACTTGATTGTAGAGCAGTTTTTGCTCCCTGGAAGGGAAGTCAGTGGCTGTGGAACATAAGTAAAGGCTACCACTTTCCCTTTTGTATCTTCTAAATTTTGTACCATGTTCTAGTATAAAATTTTAAAACAAAATATAATATACAGTCTCATGGTTTTTGTTGCACTTGTGAACGGTAATATGTTCTCTCATTTCTTCCTATGATAGTAATTCCAGTACAGATGTAAGTTATGGATTTTTATTTGGGTATATTTGTTATGCAATCATTTAGCCTGTCTTTTTTTTTAATGGAGGACAATTTCTAGGTATACTATCATATTATCAGAAAGAGAATTACATTTACTTTTAGTGTTTATACCAATTATTTTTAGTGTATTATTACATTTGCTAGAACTTATAAAAGATAAATAGTAACTGTGATAGTGAGTATCCCTAGCTTGTTCCTGATCTTAATGGGAAAGCTTTAACATTTCACCATCTGAAATAATATTTGATGTTTGTTATGGTAAGTAGTCTAATAAAATTCATGTAGTTTTCTTCTATTTTTCTAGTAGCTTTTAATAGATAGAAATGATTGCTGAATTTTATCATTTACCTTTTCAATTACTATTGCTTTGATCATATTATTTTTTGCCTTTATAACATTTCTCCACATATGCTCTAATTTTATTGTGGCTATGAGAAAGGTATGGGTATAGACCCTGGCATCAGGCTGGCTGGCCTGCAGATTCCAGCAATGGGCCTACTCATCTATGGACTCCCCAACCAACCCATCCCTGCCCACAAATCCCAGCAGTCATCCTGCCTGTGTACCCTGCCAGTTGGCCCACCCAGGATTTATGGCCAGCCTAACTGATGAATTACTTTCCCTGCTAAAGCCATTTTATAAAGTCTACTAGAGGTAACTGTCTCTTCAAATGTGTAGCCTATAATACAAGTGTAGTAGGATCAATCAGTTGGGAAACATGACACCACCAAAGGAACAAAATAAAGTTCCAGTAACTGACCCGAAATGTATGGAGATCTATGAACTGTCTGACAAATATTTCAAAATAATCACCTTAAAGAAGTGCCGTGAGCTAAAAAAGAACAGAGATATAAGATCAAATGGAATTAGGAAAACAATACATGAACAAAATGAAAAATTCAACACCCTTTCATGATAAAAATTCTATAAATAAATTGGGTATAGAAGAATGTATCTCAACATAATAAAGGTTGTATATGATAGTCCCACAGCTAACGTCATAGTCAATAGTGAAAGGTTGAAAGCGTTCCTCTAATGTCAGGAATAAGAAAAGAATGCCACCTCTCAAACCTTCTACTCAACAGAGTACTGGAAATCTTAGCCAGAACAATTTGGCAAGAAAAGGAAATAAAAGGCCTAAAAATTGGAAAAGAAGAAGTAAAATTATCTTTGTTTGCAGATGACATTATCTTATATGTATTGGGTTGTCGGAAACGTCATGACGCATTTTTGCAACAAAAAACATAGAAAAAGTATGTCATGACGTTTCCGACAACCCAATAGAAAAGTCTAAAGACCACCACACACACACACACACACACACACACACACACACACACACACACACACACACAATTTGAACTAATTCATTCAATAAAGTTGCAGGATAAAAAAATCAACAGACAAAATCAATTTGTTTCTGTACACTTACAATGAACTACCCAGAAAGGAAATTAAGAAAACAACCCATTTATAATAGCATGACAAAGAATAAAATACTTAAATATAGCCAAGGAGGTGAAAAACTTATACACTGAAAACTATTAAAAAACTGATGAAAGAAATTAAAGCACACACAAATAAATGGAAAGACATTCTGTGTTCATGGATTGGAAAAAATATTGTTAAAATGTCCATAGTATCCAAAGCGATCTACAGATTTAATGCATTCACTATCAAAATCCCAATAGCATTTTAAGCAGAAATAGAGAAATACAATACCATAATACCTATGGAACCATACAAGATCTGAATAACCAGAACAATTTTGAGCAAAAATAATAAAGCCAGAGGCATAACACTTCCTGAGTTCAAAATATATTACAAAGGATATATCCAAGGTGGTGGGGTAGTTAAACACTGGGCTTGCCTCATCCCATGAAGGCATCAAAATTACAACTAAATTATAGAACAATCAACCTGGAGAACCAT